TGGGGATTAAAAAAGGAGTCATTCCTTTTCAATATTTGGGCTGTAAACTCCATAAGGGGATCACAAGAACGACACACTGCACGGATCTCATAAAGCACATTGAAAAAAAGATCAACTCTTGGCACAATAAACACCTTGGACCCATGGGAAGATTAATTTTAATCAAACACGTGCTTAGCTCTATTCCAATCCACCACATGTCCTCTACTAACCTGCCAAAGGGAGTCATTAAACATATACACTCTCTAATGGCAAGATTCTTTTGGGCTAGAAATAGAGATAAGGCGTATCACTGGAGGAGTTGGGATTATCTTTGCAAACCATTGAAGGATGGGGGGCTCGGTATAAGGCGAATGGGCCTTCTACAAACTGCCTTCAACACCAAACTGTGGTGGGAATACAAATATAGTAGTTCCCTTTGGAAAGATTTTCTGGTGGCTAGGTATCCCAAGGGGCTCCAGGGGAGAGTTTATCAACACTATTCCCCTACATGGAAAATCATTGTGGACATGGAACATAGATGGAGTTACTTAACTGATGACGAACTACAGGAAAAGATGTGCTCTAATGGTTTATTTAAAATGAAGAAGGTCTACGAACTGATACAGGAAGACGGCTCTCACTGTTGGTCCTCAGATTATATATGGCAGCCGAAGCAGTCTGGTAAAATCTCTATGTTTCTTTGGAAACTTACTAACAACTGCTTACCATTTCCTGAAAACCTCAAAAGATTTAATGTTAATCTTCCCTCAATGTGTCCCTTCTGTAAGAATGATATCATCAGTGGCTTCCATACTCTTTTTGAATGCCCATTTAGTAGACATATCTGGAATCATTTTTCCTCTTTGCTTGATGTTCCCCCTACAAAAGGAAGGGGAATTCTTTCATCTCTATTCCATTGGTGGCTTCAAGCTAATGATAACTCCATCTTTGGAAAGCTTATTGGTGTCATTCCAGGGATCATTTGCTGGAATATTTGGAAATCTTTTAACAACTATCTGTATGATGGAGATCAGCCTGTCACAATGATAACCATACAGAGGATTACCTTTGATATTTTTAACTGGAGCAGCAGTTTAGCGGGCAGCAAGTTGGCCCAAAATAATGACACCCTCATTACTTTGGGTCTATCACCTCTTTTTAATAAAAAGATTAAAATCAAATGCTCTTTGCCTTTCTGGGATGTCAATATCACATATCTCCATGTTGACGCCTCAATAATGAATGGTAAAGCAGCTGGGGGAGCGATCCTTAGGAATGGCAAAGGTACTTTCATGGCTAGCATCACAACCAATCTGACCTCTACAGACACCTTCGCAGCTGAGCTTGAAAACATTATCAATGCAATCCAGTGGGCTCAGAACAAGGTAACTACTCCTCTCATTCTCCATACCGATTGCAAAGCAATTACTGAGGCATTATACACGGACAGAGCTTGCATTAGCCCAACTCTCAAAAAGTTCAAGGATCTGGTTCAGGAGACGAATCTTATTGTTAAGCACATTCAAAGAGATTTCAATCAAGCGTCACACCATCTCGCTAGATTTGCTATTATGTATTCCCACTTTGTTGAAACTCTACATTTTTGTTGTTTGCCTAGAGTGGTTAGAGGCTGTATTAAACTGGATGTATCATTTCCCTGATTATCAATAAATAAAGCCTCATTATATATATATATATATATATATATATATATATATATATATATATATATATATATATATATATATATATATATATATATATATATATATATATATATATATATATATATATATATATATATATATATATATATATATATATATATATATATATATATATATATATATATATATATATATATATATATAT